AATTCACCCTGTAGATATTATTGTGCCAGGAAAATGTTTATATTTTATGAACGATAATATATTTCTCTTTTAAATGGTATATTATATTATACTTGGAATTTGATTTTTCATATAGCATTTCGTTGCCGCAAATGACAGCATCCCGTATAAATACCGTCTCAAGGTATGCTACCCCACCCCTCTTATATCGCATAATTCAGCCTGTAGATATTATTGTGCCAGGAAAATGTTTATATTTTATGAACGATAATAAATATCTCTTTTGAATGGTATATGATACTATACTTGGAATTTGATTTATTATCTTTCATAAAATATAAACATTTTTCTGGCACATTGATATCTTCTTTCCAAATCGTAAGGTATAAGAAGGGTGGGGGTAGCCGACATTGAGGCTATATTAATAAAAGATGCTGTCATTTGCATCAGCGAAATTCTGTGCGAAAAATCAAATTCCAAGTATATTGTCACATACCATTTAATAGAGGAATGTACTACCTTTCAGAAAATATAATTATTTTCCTGGCACATTAATATCTACAGGGTGAATTGTAAGATATAAGAGGGGTGGGGTAGCATACCTTGAGACGGTATTTATACGGGATGCTGTCATTTGCGGCAACGAAATGCTATATGAAAAATCAAATTCCAAGTATATTGTCACATACCATTTAATAGAGGAATGTATTATCTTTCAGAAAATGTAATCATTTTCTTGGCACATTAATATCTACAGGGTGAATTGTAAGGTATAAGAGGGGTGGGGTAGCAAACCTTGAGACGGTATTTATACGGGATCCTGCCATTTGCGGCAACGAAATGATATATGAAAAATCAAATTCCAAGTATAATATCATATACCATTTGAAAGAGAAATTTATTATCGTTTATAAAATGTAATCATTTTTCTGGCACATAAATATATACAAGGTGAATTGAAAAGTATAAGAGGGGTGGGGTAGCAGACTTCGAGGCCATATTGATATAGGATGCTGTCTTGTCGCAGTGGAATGCAATATGAAAAATCAAATTCCAAGTACATTATCACATACCATTTGAAAGAACAATTTATTATCTTTCATAAAATATAAACATTATCCTGGTACAATAATATCTACAGGGTGAATTATGCGTTATAAGAGGGGTGGGGTAGCATACCTTGACACAGTATTTATACGGGATGCTGTCATTTGCGGCAAGTATAATATAATATACCATTTAAAAGAGAAATATATTATCGTTCATAAAATATAAACATTTTCCTGGCACAATAATATCTACAGGGTGAATTATGCGGTATAAGAGGGGTGGGGTAGCATACCTTGACACGGTATTTATACGGGATGCTGTCATTTGCGGCAACGAAATGCTATATGAAAAATCAAATTCCAAGTATATTGTCACATACCATTTAATAGAGGAATGTATTATCTTTCAGAAAATGTAATCATTTTCTTGGCACATTAATATCTACAGGGTGAATTGTAAGGTATAAGAGGGGTGGGGTAGCAAACCTTGAGACGGTATTTATACGGGATCCTGCCATTTGCGGCAACGAAATGATATATGAAAAATCAAATTCCAAGTATAATATCATATACCATTTGAAAGAGAAATTTATTATCGTTTATAAAATGTAATCATTTTTCTGGCACATTAATATCTACAGGGTGAATTGAAAAGTATAAGAGGGGTGGGGTAGCAGACTTCGAGGCCATATTGATATAGGATGCTGTCTTGTCGCAGTGGAATGCAATATGAAAAATCAAATTCCAAGTACATTTTCACATACCATTTGAAAGAACAATTTATTATCTTTCATAAAATATAAACATTATCCTGGTACACTACTCACTTTAGGGTGAATTGTAAGGTTCAAACTACTATTAATATTGTATTTCGTTTCGTTTCGTTCTTTTTGTTATATTCTGTGTTTTCTACTATAAATCAGTATCGACAGCGACCACTGGACAGAATTGATCACGTGATTAGAGCAGATCAATCCATTGTGCAAAGAGGTGAATATTTTGACCTGTATTTATTCTTGTCTGCTAGCTTTTGGTGACTTCTAGCAGCCATTGTCTGATGTCTGCCAGTTATAGTTTGGGCACTAGTTGTTAGCTTGTTTATATATCGTCTGCAGACGATGCTGAATGTTGTGAAATTTTCAATTTATTATATTTTTATAAAAACTTGACAGAATTTATCCATTTTTGGAATGATATTCCCGATGGGGTTTCAACTCTCACAATATTTGTCCCCCGCCTTGGGACACAATAACACTCTTTCTAATTAAGCTAGAATGTTCAAACTTGGTGTAGGTGTTTATCAGGTCAATTGATGGAGTTCCAAGATGAGCATTTTCTGCTTAGGGTAAGCAGAAATAAGCAATTTGATTGATTGATGCTTTGGAACAGGATAACTTTAGTTCTAATTAGGTGAGAGTGATGAAACTTGGTTTATAGTTTCATTACATCAATACCTTGACTAAGTTCGATAATGAACATTTTTTGCTCAGGGTAAGCAGAGCGTTAAGCAATTTGATTGGCCGAGACTTTGGAACACAATAACTCTCCTTCTAATTGAGCTACAATGTTCGAACTTGGTGTAGGTGTTTATTAGGTGAATGCCTTCATGGAGTTCGAAGATGGGCTTTTTCTGCTTAGGGACAGGATAATTTTAGTTCTAATAAAGGGAGAGTCATGAAATTTGGTGTATAGTTTTATTACATAAATACCTTAACTAAGTTCGATATTGAGCATTTTCCACTCAGGGTAAGCAGAGCGATAAGCAATTTGATTGGTCAAGACTTTGAAACACAATAACTCTCATTCTAATTGAGCTAGAATGTTCACACATGGCATAGGTGTTTATTAGGTGAATGCATTAAAGCAGGGGACTATTAAAATGGGTTCGTCTGTCTGTCCGTCCATCCGTCACACTTTTTGGGACACAATAACACTCTTTCTAATTAAGCTAGAATGTTCAGACTTGGTGTAGGTGTTTATTAGGTCAATTGATTGGAGTTCGAAGATGAGATTTTTCTGCTTAGGGTAAGCAGAGATAAGCAATTTGATTGGTTGATGCTTTGGGACACGATAACTTTAGTTCTAATTAAATGAGAGTGAGGACACTTGGTGTATAGTATTTATCGCATCAATACCTTGACTAAGTTACATAATAAGCATTTTCTGCTTAGGGTAAGCAGAGCGATAAGCAGTTTGATTGGTTGAGACTTTGGAACACGATAAATCTCCTTCTAATTGAGGTAGAATGTTCAAACTTGGTGTAGGCGTTCATCAGGTGAATGCCTAGATGGAGTTCGATGATAAACATTGTCTGCTTACGGTAAGCAGAGATAAGCAATCTGATTGATTGATGCTTTGGGGCACGATAACTTTAGTTTAAATTAAGTGAGGGTGATGAAACTCTGTTCGTCATATCATTACCATGACTAAGTTTGATGATGAGCATTTTCTGCTCAGAGTAAGGATCGATAAGCAATTTGATTGGTCAAGACTTTGGAACATAACAACTCTGCTTTTAATTGAGGTAGAATGTTTAAACTTGATGTAGATGTTCATTAGGTGAATGTCTTGACTGAGTTCGATGATTAACATTTTAAGCTAAAGCTAAGCAGAGCTATTCAATTTCATTTGTCGATGCTTTTGGACAAGATAACTTTGATTCTATCTGATAGAGAGTGATGAAACTTAGTGCATAGGTGACAATTCTTTTGAAAAAAAAAATAAATGTGCGATTAATGAATATGTGTCATGTATTTATTTTGGGATTTCGGCGGGGGGGACATCAGCCTCACTGTCAAGCTTGTTTACTTTGCAAGGGATTCAAAATTCTTAAAATGATGACCTGTGGCTTTAAATTCATCTTTGTTGTAACGATGTCTGCTTGACAATTGTTTTCTGGTGTACTTTCTTTCTGTAATATTTTTACGAGGTAATAAAAATGATGATTGTCTAAGATTGAAACTAATTGTCAAAATGCTTGAGTGAAAAGGAAAATTGTAAATATTTTGATTTAATCAAATTGTGGGCGGGTCTCCCTTTGAATGGCATTTTCTGTAAGAAGTTCTCGTGACAAGTCAAAAGATTAAATTGCAATTTTTTTATTTTTGTCAATGTCAGTGGAATAAGAATCTGCATGCTGTATTTCTATGAAAAAAAAAAAAAACCAACACAAGAATGAAACCAGTACCTTTGAGTGTTGTGATAAAAGAATATTGTCAGTTTAGATTTATTGTAAAAATATTAGCTTACAATTTGTGAAGCAGAAGATCGATATTGCTAGGTTTTTTTAATCTGATAAATCAATTATTAACACTTTCACTGCTTACTGAATTTGTTTAGTTGTTTATAAACAAATGATAACATCTACTCTATATTTTGTTGGGGTGTTTTTATTAATGTAACAGAGTAGTGGAACATTTTAGGTTATTGTATTTGATAATCTCTTTAAACCATGGGAAACAAGTTTCAATCCATGCAGGTAAAAAACCTTTAGATAAAAACACATTGCTATATTTATGCAGACTTTCAATTGAACAATATTTGTATTCAGCTTTGGTTCTTGAAATAGCTAACATTTACAATAATATGTATTTTTGGCTGGATTTGACACCTACACAAATACATGAATACTACAATACATGTACATATTATGTAAAGTTAACAGAAGGTGACATTGTACAAACCTCGAAGGATCATTAACTCAACATCTGCTCATGATCCACCAACTGTACATGGAACATGTTAATGGAGCATTCTGTACAAATGTCTGTACCTAGTCTAAACACAATCTAAATCTCACACCACCTCAGCACCTTCACACCTAACATTCCCTACTCCATGCAAAATATACTGGATACTGTCTCAACAATTTGTTTATTTTTTAGCTCAACTTACTAGATGTTGCATCAAGCTGGATTACATGATGTATTGATTCATTAGTTAATTTATTTACATTTCTTTTGTTTTTTGCAGTTCCTGAGTGAGATATCCGAAGCTGATCAGGAAAATCAGAATATATGTCCAGATACCAACAAGAAAGGAGATAACTCTGATAAATCTAGCAGCAGGCGACAGAAAACACGTAAATTGGCCAGAAGAAGTTTAAGTCTACCATCTGGACACTTATCATATAGTGACAATGTGAAAATATCTTACGTGAACGGACATTTTGCTGCCAAAAATCAAACTCAAGAAACCTCCCCAGATAATGTCAGTGCTCAAGATCTTAACAAGAACGAGAATTGCAAAGACAATACAAGTCCCTGTGATTTTGTGGAGATCAACTCGATGAGAGAAGAAATTTTATCATTGTTAAACAAACGGCTTTCGACTACTGATAATGCCTTCTGTGATTTGGCATATGATTGGAACTTTAATCATGTGGAGGAAGTGGACAATGACAAGAATTTCTCCTCAGTGAGTTCAACACTTCCGAGGCGACGTAAAAAGGACGGACCTCCTGGTCAGAGACCACTCTCCGTGGACGAGAGTCAGTTATGGAGAAATTCTTGTCATTCAGAAAGTTCGCTTTGTTCGAATGAGGATGATTTGAGTCGCGAGCGAAACCAGGATGATAATATTTCAATAGCGTCTTCCAGATACGATTCACGATACTCGAGTCAGCTTTCTATGGATGAAGATACAAAGCGTTCTAAAAGTCCAAATTTCTTTAAGAGAATGTTGTCCAAACGAAAATCATTTTCCGAAAAATTTAAGCCCACAAAAGATGAGGTTCTGACTAATTCCTCTGGAAAGGACGGTTCAGTGGTGCGTAGGATGTCCTTTCGCAGCTTTTTTAAGCGGAAGGGATTCACAAGTTCAAGAAAAGAGAGTGATTTGGATGAACCAAACAGTCCACCAATTGTGGCATTTTTAACAACAGAAGATATTGGAGCAATAAGTCTTCAGGATTCACCATATATTTTCAAATGTCCTACAGATAATAATATAAATATTTCTCAACTAAACTCTTACGGTATAAATAATATGGATAAATTACAAACTAATACCCATCAATCTTCCTCAAATTACCAATCAAATTCCAGAGATATGAATCAATCAAGTAATCAGCCTCCCCCAAGGCCATCAACAGCAAAACCAGAAATATCTCCTAGAAGGAAGAATTCGGTTTGTTCGTTACGTCAGGCCATGGGTGGGTTACAAGATAGAAATTCTGGGGATTTTTATTCTAGTGATATGGTGAATTTGGATGGAACTTTATCTCTGCATTCTTCTTGTTCTCCTAATTCTTCTGTTATGACATTAGAAGGGGATGTAACTCTAACAGATTGTGATACTACTTTAACATACCAACATCGTGAAACATTATCTCCACATGAATTGGAGAGACATGTTCAAAGGGAGCTAACTGGGAGTAATAGCAATGACAGTGGAATACAGCATGACTTGAATTTTCAATCCAGTGCAGACTCACTTCAAAGAGTAAGATTTCTTTTTTTTTTTACTTCCACAGATTAACATTTGTCCATTTTGATCCTTGCCAAATGATTTTACATGTAATCCTTATAAGACATATAGAAGTAGATTTCACAAATTAAAAACACTATACGTTTCGATACACATACAGATATCGTTATCACAGATATCGTTATCAAGCAATCATGATAACGATATCTGTATGTGTATCGAAACGTAGCATGTTAATAAATTCAGAAGTAGTACACTACAGTGCGGGAGTTTGGGACTATAATCGCCGAACGCCGCGGAAAAACACTCTATTTCACGGTGGAATCTTGGAGAATAGCTAGCGAAACGGCAGCTAGCCAAATCACCGCGAAATAGGGTGTTTAGCGGTGGATCGCTTGAGTGCCGATATCATCCCGATGTAAGCATGTTGACGAAAAATGTAATTTATTTAAGTTGAATACAAGATATCTTAACCGTTGGTGAGGCAGCTACGGTCGTATGTTTTATTTCTAACACACTGTACATGTATAACGTGGTGCCACAATGTACGTGTATGCAAACAATGAATAACTTACAATTTTTTAAACGTATCATTTCATCTGATTGGCTGCTATCAAATCCAAACTTTAAATTATATTCGATGAGATTTTACACATAACTTCATTCATAAATCACAGTGCCATACATGTAAATCACTCCGCAATGCGGTTAACTGTACGTCACGTAGTCAGAAACGTGCGAAAACATGAGATGTTGGGTTCGACAAGGGGACTATATATTCTTACGCTGTGTTACTTGGCAAAAAGTATTTAGCAAATCTTGACTGTCACCGGTATATGATAATAATGTATTATGACGTATTAAAATAATATGGGTGGGAGGGGGTACACTGCGAAAGTCACAAAAGTGACAGCGCCATGTATTTGTTATTTTACAAATTCCTTATCCATAGTAGTATCCTGGTGTTTAACGTCTGCTTCCACATAAGTGATATTGCAGACAAGAAATAGGAGAGCCGAAGCTGCTTCCTGTTTTTAGAATATGATTTTGCAATCTTTCCATTTTCGGCCTTAGGCAATGGATTGGGTTTTGTGGGAAGTTCTTCCCTTTATTTAATCGTTCGTTCTTGGTGACGAACGATTAAATAAAGGGAAGAACTTCCCACAAAACCCTTTATTTAATAAAAAACTATTGATTTAATAGAATACTGTACATTTAAATGCATTCAACCAAGGGATATTCTTACGGCAAATATCCACTGTGACAATATACATCTACTGTGTGCCGCTCATTTCATTTCGGTGGAAGCGGATATTAAATAAAGCCATTTCACACACACACACAGACGTGTACAATACATGCGCATGTCATATATTTATACAATGGCCACACGTGTGTTAATTCTCGTCTGCCCTTCACCCCGTTATAATTTACTTATTTTGAGAACAAACGCTAATACTTCTCAACCACCAAGCTAACAGACAAAGGCTTTCGACAAATCTACAGGAAGCCTTTTCATTCTTTAAATTTGACCCATTCAGGTGGTTAATACAATGTAATCATCAGATGCAATACTAATGTTAAGCAGGCCCTTTACAAAAACAAAGCTGGCTCCCTAAGAAAACATCCCTTTTCAATTCTTAATCGCGGCTACAATTGATACAATATTTGTTTTAATTGTTGTTTTAATAATTGATAATTGTGTTTGTTTTAATATGCATCTGCTTTCTTTGAAATAATAAAGCATTATGTACTTACCCGTGGTATTGTTTCATCATGAAGCCCATCAAAGAAAAACAATTAAATTGTTGATGTAATAAAGATAAATATTTGCTAATATGTACTTACCGGCAGCGGCCATTCTTAAGCTATGAATATACTCATCTATAAATTATTCGCCTCTTTGTATTGTGATTTAATCATAAATAACATATTGTCTGTATTATATTTTTAAAATGAATAAGTCAAGCCTTAGGCCTATAATGTAATTTAATTGGTCCGAGTGGTTCTTTGGGTTTGTCCGAGTAGCAAAGATAAATATGGGTCCGATATTATGCAATATCGATGCGGGTTCAACCACGAATCTTGCGTATTCACCGTCTAGTATAACTTTCGAGCTTCTGATATCTAGATTTTAAACGCAAACATACATGTATGTATAAGCTTATAGATTGCAGCTACACAGGGTACATGTATATGCAGTAGGAAATCGACAAGTTGGACGTACAAAAGAATGGAATCATTCAGAAAGTGTACTCAAAATAAGTAAATTATAACGGGGTGAAGACGAGAATTAACACACTCGTGGATATTGTATAAATATATCAGGCGCATGTAATGTACACGTATGTGTGTGTGAAATGGCTTTATTCAATATCTGCTCCCACCGAAATGAATTGGGTGACATAAAGTAGATGTATATTGTCACAGCGGATATTATTCGCCTAGTAAAACAGCGTAAGAATATACATGTAGTCCCAATCTTTTGGCGCGTTTCTGACCACGTAACATACCGTTAAGCGACCCGCGGAGTGATTTACTGTACGTGCTGTATGGATGGTTGATTTAGATTAACCGAAGCTGCGAGTAATGAAGTAATGTGTAAAAGCTCATCGTATATAATTTAATGTTTGGATTTGATAGCAGCCCAAAATTGACGGATTACATCTAAGTTATAGACGAAGATGAATTGATATGTTTAAAAAATTGTAAGTTGTTCATAGTTTGCATACATTTTGGCCGGCGCTATGTATAAAGTGCGTTGGGGAAAAAATCCTAACCGATACAGAATGCCGGTAAATGTCTTCCCGAAATTACCTAACTCATTTGTTATTCAAACCTGCCTGTACATTATACATGTACACGTTTCCCGGGAGCATTACTATATTACAACTCCTTTAATTTATTATAGACAATATTAGTTCGACCCTAGCTTAAGGCTCGCGAATTCCTTGCGGGAAGCACGGCAAAGCACGATGTATTCTTATCGAAACACGGTGAATTCCTAGCGAATCTTAGAGAAAAATCGCCGCGGAAACAAGCGAAATTTCACCGTGAAATCTAAGAGAATTCCGAGAGTTTTTTTTTTCACTGCGTCGCAGCGATTTCTGTCCCAAAAATTTGGGAGGAACTGTATGTCCATATAAGTGTTTTTAATTTGATTTTACATGTTTTTAGGTCTATGACCTGGATAATTTTGAGTTGTAATACAATAACTTTGTTTTATGGAATAATCTACCATTTAGTTCAAGATGTTGTACATCTCTATATTCTTTTAAAAAAACAGCTTAAGACACATTTATTTAATCAGGCTTTTAACTGACTCTGTACACAATCGATAACATGTTGTTTATTTATGATTATATTCTAAGATTTTTTTGACACAAACAACAAAGATGAATGATTATATACATTTAAAATACAGATGTGATGTTATTACTTAATGTCTCACTCTCGACCTTTAAACCACACGTAAATCACTTTATTTTTAAAAAGAAAAAACGAAAGCAAAATTAACCATTACTATTCACAGATATCAATATATGAAACATTTGGTTAAGAAATATATATATAAAACATTCTATAATTTACAAACTCTGTTGAAGAGAGAGAAATGGGGTTTAACATCCACTCGACACGAACCTGGTCATTTCAGGACTAAAACATACGTGTATGATTAAATTTTATTTCAATAATTTGCTTGCGTATATACATGTAGGTCTTTAGCATGCAGTGAGGGGAAACTGAAGAACCTGGAAAAACCCCACAAGGTTAGACCCTACTTCTTGTCACGTACAATAAAAATTACAAGTTTGGGCTCGAAACCATGTCACTTGACACAATGACAGACCTTATGATCTAAAGCATGTGCCAAAGGCCCCCACCACCCCCCACCCCACCACCAACTTTGCAGAAACTGACAGATGATATTTTCTATATATTCACTGAATATTAATTTTTAAGGTTTAATGAAATATTTCATGTCTCTAATTTCAATTTTATTTATTGCCTTATTTAAATTAAAGCGGACCATTCCAGTATTATTGAAGTTGTTTAATTCCCTGCATTCTTCTCTATTTTTGTGATGTAAATCAAATTTAAACCAGTTAGGTATCATGAAGGTAAACAAGGTAAAAAGTTTGATAGGCAGTGTCATTAATTAACATATAATTGATTGATGAGGCGAACCATTCATTAAAACAGTTAGATTTTAAACATAAAGGACCCTTCAGGCAGAGTGTATAGAAATGTGTACAGATATAGATGGATTCATGTAGATATAATTAATAAACTGGTCAACCAGTTGAACCTATATTTAATGACGCATTTGGTCATGGGTTAGCAGAAAGGTAGTTTGAAATCTAATAATCTTCTACATTGCTTTGTGTGTAGCAATGTTAGACTAGATTAGGATTATTTTTTTGAGGAACTGGAGTGTAATATTATTAATATAAATGAACATATTATAGTTAAGTACCAGTAGTTTAAATTCTTCTGCATATATTTCCAAATAAAGATGGTAGGACGTATGCCTGTAAAATAAGTGTTGAAATATTCATTAAATTTTCTGGTCATAGTTAGGATTTTCCTTTATAAAAGTTAAACGATGAAATAGATAAATAGAAGAAATGTGATGGCATTCTTTCTAGTGAATACAAATAGTATCATTTTGTCATGTTCTTCTTCAGGAATTAAGGACTCTACAAATATATTATTATGTTATGCACTCCTTGTGGATTGAGTCATGAAAGTAGAACCTATTATTATCAACATGAATAGTACTTGTAGATTAGTACTGTATTAATATATAATCTTTTAGTGGCATTTAGCGATTGGAGACCTAACACGGTTATACAAAAACCGATTTGTAAAAAAACATGGTCGAATGAGAAATCACTCGAAAAAACAATTTTCCAACTAAGTTTAGATTTAACAACCTCGCGTCTTATCTATGATTATACCCTTTTTGTGCAGCTATAACTTCCTGTCGAGAAAACTCACCAATTAACGAATAC